ACTAGTTCGACCTCAGGCATCTCGCACGGCCAGGATTGCACCTTGCACGGCCGTGCAGATGTCACTTGTGCCCGTGCAAGCTCTCGCACCATCCCGCACGGCCAAAATGGTCACTTGCACGGCCGTGCGGATTTCTGCTCTGCCCGTGCGCGCTCTCGGCAAAAGGCGCACGGCCATATTGCTCCATTGCACGGCCGTGCGACTCCCTGGTCCGGCCGTGCAGCCTCCTTGGAACCTCGCCATGCGTCCGACCTTCGTCCAATCGACCCCAGACTCGCTCCTAAGCCTTCATTCACGTTCTAGGACCTGAAATATCACAACCAAGCACAACCTAGCGTGAAATCGGCCTAAAACACGAGAATCAATACATCAAACGGTGTAAGAACAGGGGTGAAAACATGTGTAAATAACGGTCTATCAAACTCCCCCACACTTAACCGTTTGCTTGTCCCCAAGCAAACCTAACTCAAACCAATGCAACTCTGCAGATCTCTATAGCAACAATCAACCTCGATCGTAGGTAGAGGACTTCCTAGGTCATTTAGCAACTTACGAGGTCAACCGACGCACAAGTCATCTCATAGCTTCTTCGGCGAGAGCACCAGTCTCGAGTCGGCATCATGGCAAATAGTGAACAGAGGACAAATGAATCGTGGATGAAGAGACTCTCAAAAACAAAAGATCATGGACTCACATTTTTCAAGGTGCTCGATTTTCTTTTTGGAGATGGTTGGAACCCCTTTTCTTTCTTCTTTTTGCTTGTTTTTCTGTTTTTCTCTTTTTTTTCAAGGGTTCCAACCTGTTTTTGCAGAAAACGAGGGCTCCCACCTAGCAAAGGTTTTGCGGGAGCCCGGCTCTTACCGGCCATGCCAGGAGCAGTTGTCTCGAGCCTCGTGCGGGGGAAAGACATGAAAGGGGACTGGAGGTAGTAGGTGGAAATTGGGAACGGATTCCCGTCTCCCATTACACACTTCCGCCCTATTCGCACGGGAGACGTTATTTTAAAGCACATTTCGAGCACCTGTTATTTCCAAAACATGATACAAGAGTCCATGACAGGCAGAGAGTCCACAACACCACACAATTCAAGGGTCCTAAGATCACTAATTCACTCAATCAACCAACACACTATGAAGAAGAAATGAGACTTCTTAAATGCATCAACATCCTCCATAGTGCTACACTACCTCCCTAGGTTGCAAATCACTACAGAGACTGTCAATTCAAAGCATACTGAGCAGGCAATTGCAAGGAACACGTACTTGGAGCCCTCAAATTTAAAAATTTGGACAGTGGACTAGGCTCCAAGCACACAAACAGCTAAACATTCACCCGCATACATAATCGAACATCCCCCCACACTTAAGCACGACATTGTCCTCAATGGAGGAAAGATAAGGAGGGTAGAACGAAGTTACCAGATCAAGGGTGAATGATGATGTACGGGTCAGGCGGTGCATTCCAGGAAGAGAGAGTAATCAGAACACAAACACCACACAAAATCTCACAAAGGTTGAGTTATTGACTCTATAATCAAATAACAAAACTGACTCAACCGAGGATAAATAGAGAAAGAAATGCAAACCGACTGGTTGGGTTGCCTCCCAACAAGCGCTTCTTTCACGTCGTGAGCCGGACGATGGCTCCTAAGTTTCGGTCCATGCTAGAACCTCCTTGAAGTTGAGGTTCTCGTCAATGAGGTGGAGTCGCAAGTCACGAGCATGTGGTGTGGCAGGTGATGAAGGCTCGTGCACTTGATGCAGATGAAGTCTCCACCCTCGAGACCTCTTCTTCTCTTCTCTCGTCTCATTGCCCCAAACCAGATAAGCCAGCATCGATTGGCCACCACCGCGTCCACCAAGAGGGACCGATGTCGAAGTGGCCTTGGTCTGGCAAAGAGACACTGCAAATGGGTCCTTGCCAAGCAGCTCCTCGAAGTTTGGTGGAGATATCACATGTAACTCATGGCCGGTGCAGGCCTCTTCCACCTTAACTCGGTCCTCACCCTGGACGCCAATTTCTTCTTCAACCTCCCTTTCTTCTTCATGTGGTATCACCCCTGGGAAATGATCAAGAACTTCTCCTGCTTCACTTTCGTCATCCTCCACAACTTCTTGCTGCACCCTTGCTTGCTCTTCTTCTTCTAGCACGGATTGGAGAGCAAGTTGCCAAGCAATTTCTCTCATGAGATCTTCTTGCATCTCCTCACTCATGCCCACCTCTTCAAAGCTCAGTGTGGGTGCGGGAAGGGGTAGTCGGCTACGATAGGACATTCTTGATCATGATTTTCACGGGAGCTCTCCGTGATAACTTCTGTTTGCTCCACAATGTCCTTGTAGCCTTCTTCTTCTTCCTCCTCCTCTAGTATGGTAGCAGACGGGTGATCTTGAGCAAGCTGTGCACAAACTTGCTCCACCCACTCTGTTTACTTCGCTGAGCGTTGAACAGCCTCCTCCATATCATGGAGAAATGAGGGATCGGAAGAGGAAAGGGATTGGATTTGAAGATCCATCTTGCGATTGCGTCTCTCGGAGTCCCGAACAAACTGCCCCAGGAGAAGCCTCAGTTCATAGTTTGGATCTGGCTGTGGAGTGTAGCATGGCTCTGCAGAATGGCCCGTGAAGGCCGCCATGGGTAACTCCAGCGCCGATGGCCCTTCTGGTTGTGGGAGAAAGTCTTCTTGGTAATGAGATTGTTCTTGATATGTCCAGGGGTCAGATTGTTCTCCATAGAAAGGGGGTTGGTACTGGAACCCGGATCCATAGTCTTCTCCTCCTTGGTTGCTCCAGAGGGTCTCGGGGTAATACCACTCGGATGGTGGTGGATACCCCCAATGGTTGGAGAAGCCATGAGGATCCGTGATTCAGATCTGCACCAACAAAAACAAAAAAAACCCAAGTGAAAAGCAAGGGTGGAAAAGAAAAGAAAACCGCTAAAGTAACAAACTTCTGCCTTTCCTAATACTCTAGAAAGTCCCCGGCAACGGCGCCAAAAACTTGACTCGCTATGACACAACTCCTAACAATGGCCAAGTGTAACCAATGAAAGGGACTGCAGTATAGTGGCTCAAGTAATAAATATCGAATCCACGGGTCTCTAGAGTTACTATTACTCAGCTTCAGTTCATTATCTAGCAAAACAGATTAAGATGAAAGAACTAAAACTACTCTAGCAAACTACAGTTAAAGTTAATCTAATTACAGGTTGGGAACTCACTTAGGTATGATTCCCCCTAGCCACTAGCCAGATTAACGATCGATGATTTCTAACTTGTTTCACTTCATTCACAATGCGGAGAATCCTTGACTAGACCTTGAGTCTCGACTAAAGGAACAAGGCCCTCTTGAGTCAATTGCCTAGAGGGACGTATCCTTCTCTAGAACAATCGATCAAGGCGTTCTGAACTAGACTCCCTCTATCGAATGAGGTTCCCAATCGATACAAAGCAGTGAATCAACCCTCGACTAAAGCAATCGATCCACTACTATCAATCTATGGTGCTCGATTGACCTAATCAGGTATTCGCTCTCATAGGATCAAAGCAGAATCAATAATCTCGACTAAAGCAGAATTGAATCGTGAAAACATGCATAGATTGAATATGAACTCAAGATTATCAAGTCAGAGTACTCATACAATCATCCAATCAAACAAACATGGCTAGGGTTCCTCAAAACCTAAGTGAAGGGAAGTTACTCCATAGAGAAGAGAGAGACTGCAGTAAGAATCTTCAGATGATCAGACTTCAAGTCCGGGCTTGATTCCCGAGCTCCAATGGCGAAGAAATCCTCCAAAATAGCTCCAAGAATGTTCCCAAGTCGCTCTCTCTCTCTAGGGTTCGTCCCTTGGGTGTTTGGGATCCAAAACCCAGCTCTCTCTCTGTTTGGCTCGGAATCCGCTTAAAAACCAGAATTTCCCGACTCGCACGGCCAGGGTGCACGGCCGTGCATATCACCATTCTGGCCGTGCACTCCAAAACGCGGCGTACCAACTAGTTCGACCTCAGGCATCTCGCACGGCCAGGATTGCACCTTGCACGGCCGTGCGGATGTCACTTGTGCCCGTGCAAGCTCTCGCACCATCCCGCACGGCCAAACTGGTCACTTGCACGGCCGTGCAGATTTCTGCTCTGCCCGTGCGCGCTCTCGGCAAAAGGCGCACGGCCATATTGCTCCATTGCACGGCCGTGCGACTCCCTGGTCTGGCCGTGCAGCCTCCTTGGAACCTCGCCATGCGTCCGACCTTCGTCCAATCGACCCCAGACTCGCTCCTAAGCCTTCATTCACGTTCTAGGACCTGAAATATCACAACCAAGCACAACCTAGCGTGAAATCGGCCTAAAACACGAGAATCAATACATCAAACGGTGTAAGAACAGGGGTGAAAACATGTGTAAATAACGGTCTATCATGATACAAGTGGACGACACATTCTTTACCGGCAAGTACAAGGGCACTCTCCTAATTGAGAGTGGGACGGATGCAAACAGACAAGTCATTCATTTAGCTATGGATGGTTTTTCCGACAAATTCAGTTCCACGTCACCAGGAGAACGAACTTGACAATCATCTCTGATCTCCACGCGGATCAGAGCTGCTATCTTAGGTTATCATCCAGCCTGGATGTGGTCCCAGAGGTGGTGCATATGACACTTCAAGAGCAATTGGAACCATCATTTCAAATGGAGGAAACTTGCTGACAATCTATGGTGGACCGATAAGCGGTATATTTCATTGGCGAATTAATTTTGTTAACTGATAACATATGCTTTGAAATACAATACAACACTTATTTAGACTCTTTATAAAGAGATTCATGCCTAAGGAAACGGGGTCTTAAGCGATAATCATGGTCCTCCCATTCCTGGGGAAATCAGGTTTTAAGTGATCCTCGGATCCCCCGTTTTTCTATCGAAAAGGCTGTGTTTCTAAGGAGATGTATACCTCTCATAAGAGTCTAACGAGTGTACTTGTATTGCTTTACCTCTTATAATACAGAACCATATACGAGCCAAAGTCAATTGGTCCCCTCACCTTACCCTTTCTTCTGTATATGCATCAGTTGTACCCTACTAAGAGAAGAAATTCAGGGAGAAGTTGCAAAAGATCCGCGAACTTTGCCATGAAGGTGCGGATCGAATGTGATCTACATAGGAGAGAACTATATTAAACAGAGCAATAAATTTCCAAATGAGCTGCACAAAATAACAAAGGAAGTAGATGTTTATTGATGGTTACCTTTGCTTCCCAAAGATGATCCAGCCTCCTCCGATACTCTTCCAGCTTATGCTCCCCTAGGTTGTCGCATGTTGTTTGTCCAAGCCACCTTATTAAATCGACATACATACAAAGTTATAACTAACTAATCATTAAGTACAACAAAAGAAATTGGAGCAATGATTGAGATCGGAGAAGTTTACCTACAACCATAAGCTTGGAGTCTATAGGGGTGGTCACCGACCCATTCCTTGTCGGGGTCTGAGACCGGAGCAATCCATGGCAGATGCTCCCAAGCCCAAATGTGTACGATGAACATTGCCCCATCAATTTCCTTTATCGCTTTCGAAGTTGCATTACAGAGGGAGCGGTAGATATGAGCTAGGCATGCAGATGCCCAGCTTAGGTTCCCCATATCCTCCTTAGAACCAAGGAGGATCTTTAACCAACCATTGCTGATTAAGTTGTTGGATTTCTTGGTGAAGAACATCCCTCCGATCATGCCAATGAGGTAGACACGCGCATAGATTTCCTTATGCACCTCATCACTTTGCTCCGTGAGGGGCACACCATTTTCAGCAGGGTCGTCCCTCTTCTTGATCTGTCAACCAAGTGATGGATACTTGGCGGCTCCTCATTGGTGGAAGACCATCTTCCTGGTCAGATCCTTGTCCCTTTGCAAGCACGAACAAATCCAAGATGGTCCATATCAAATACTGTCATTCGTTCATTACGTCAACATCTGAGGGTGGTGGGTTTTCGTCCACACACACATCGCCATCAATGGGAAAATCGGTTAGGATGATGATGTCTTTCAGTGTGATGGTGCACTCGCCTTCAGAGAAGTTGAAGCAATGTGTCTCGGATCGCCATCTCTCCATCAATGTTGTGTTGAGCTGGCGTTCGATCTTTATTCCTACAAAATGTCTAATCGATTCCAATCTTGCCCTTCTTAGATAGGGCAAGATGGCGTTGTTCCATCTGAGCACATTGCTCGTACTCCTAGAGCGGACTATATGGTGTGCATCATAGCGAATAAATTTACTTTCACCATAAGTTTATGATTTATCGCATACCTTGAGTATGAAAACGCTATCTAGACCTCGAATTAGCTGGATTTTTGGGCATGATACTATACCCTACCCCTTAATGAGTGAACCCTAGGTCCTAATTATCTAAATCATAAACTATAAACCTTAAGATGGTGCAATGAATTTTTTGCCTATATTTGGACGAATCATAGCCATCGATTCTTGTTTCTAATTAAATTGATCTTGGGGTATAAGATTTAGAGAATTAAGACCTAGATTTTGATCTTTAAGGGTTATAGTATAGTATCATGTCCGAAAGATCAATCAATTCAAGTTATGGATAGCGTTTTCTTACTCAAGGTATGCGGTACCCCGGATTTCATCCTAGGTATCGTAGAACCCCATATATATATATATTAACAAACAATATAGCCTTAACAAAATAAAGGTATTTTCAAAATGTATACATAATTACTAAAACAAACATATTAAATTAACTAAAATAAATGAATAGCATTGTGAAATATTTCATAAAATTAAATTTGTACACATACACATAAATTCATTATATATTTTTTTAAAATCACATTGGTTGTTTTCAATAATTTAAACAATACAATAACACTCGTTAGACTCTTAGGAGAGGTTTACATGTCATTCGAAACACAACATTTTTGACAGAAAAAGGGAGGATCCGAGGATCTCTTATAACCCGATTCTCCCAAGAAATGGGAGGATCATGATGATCGTTTAAGACCTCATTTCCTTAGACATGCATCTCTTCATGAAGAGTCTAAGTAAGTGGCACATTGTATTGCTTTAAATTATTGAAAATAATCATCATGATTAACAATTAACAATTTTATTTTACAAACCACTAACTTACGATAACAAAATAAAAATATATAATTATGATATATTATAAGTACCTCGTCATTGTTCCAAATATCCCTCGAACGATGGTTAAATTGACCGTATAGCACGAATGGATCAATCGGTTCTTGCTCCACATAATATTGTTGGATGGTATTTTTTATATTTTTTTAAAATGGCGGTATTATATGTATATTCAGTCCCACTTGCAGTGCGCTCACCCCTCAACTTGCACAAACTTCAGTCATCCCCCAGCCAACCATTCCCCCCACAATTCCCAATTACCCGGCCCGGCAGCAACGAAACGAAACACTTCCATCTTTTTTATTTATATTTAATAAAGTCACAACAGAAGAAGAAGAAGAAAAGAAAACTTCTAGAGATGGTATATGCTGACAGCCAGCGAAGCCAACTTGCGGGGCTATTTCTTTTATTGTTTTTATAATTTAAGAGTAGCCACTTGCAGATTATCGTGTTTCCTTCCTTTACTTTTCTTACGGTAGCGATTCATACAGATGAACAGAAGGTTGCAACTTGCAGGGATTTGCGTCTCTCTCTCTCTCTCTCTCCGTCTCTTCTCTTTCCCCACATGCTTTTAAGAAACCCTTTTCTTGGTTTTATATGTAAATTCTTGATCAGGGCACAATATATGGTTGGTGGATGGTGGTTACATCAATTTATATACGTCCACTTGAATTTAGATGTGGTACAAGTTGTATGTATATGGGGTGGCAGTAGCTCTGTCTGATTCTCTTCACGTTATTCCCACCTCTACCACCACTTTCAAATCAAAATTCAAAAGCAATATAAATATATATAATTCCCGTGAAATACCTCAACTGGAAATTTCTACGTTTACCCTTCTCGGAATTCCAAGTCTTCCCGGCATGTATAACTTTTTATCATTCAATACCAAAAAGAAAATATTCTGGTTCACCTTTTTTATTTTTTTTATTTTTACCTGTGCTTGCACTCAACGAATATGCTGCAAACGTAGAAATTAGAGATTGGTGAATTAATTTGGCGAAAAAATAATCCATATGCTGCAAACGAACTACGACCTGACTGGCAGCCATGTTCGATCACACGTTTTTTTGTGGGTTCGTGGGGGACATCATGGTTCGCTAAGAAACGATTTAGTTTTGAGTTGTTAGACTTTAGGTTAATTGATCATCGATCACAAATAGATCGAGTAAATCCTCTAGGTGCTCTCTCTCTCTCTCTAGATAGTGCGCACTTCCTAAGATAGATTAGGACCTCTTCCTCGTATAATATTAAAGTAACTAACCCCATAGCATAGACAAAACGAACAAATGATTAAATATTCGTCCACCATTAGCAACCACTTGCATTATAATAGTCTCCGTCGGCAGCCCCTTCCGATACTCTTAAGTTGAAGTCAATCCCATTTCTTTTCTCTAATTTCAGTCATTTAAAAATTACAACCACACAATTACAAAGAGATAAACCATGATCAATATTGGTTCAGGAAAACTAATGCGGATAATCAACAAACACAAAGATCAAAATTGTATTACGAAAGACTCGAGCTAGCTAATACTTCCATACTAAGGCTCAGCTTAAATATGGGTATCAGAAGGGGGAAAAAATGAGATTACAGTTGTACACAAGAAACCTAATCAAGTCCACTCGATCGACCCATCAGAATAATCATCAAATGAAAAGAAGTCGTTGATTATGGTACAAGAGGACAGGAAATCACACTAATTAAACTAGTAATAATTACGGCATGCATTTTGATCGCGATTTCGATCTGCGATTACAAACACACACCTGAGCGACGGAAACTCACAAAAGGTCTCGTACTAATTGGGTTGGGATAGGTGGTCCACCACTCTAATAACATCTACAACCGACGACCATTTCTTTCACAATGGAAAAAAAAAAAAAAAAGGAGAGAACTCACGATTGGGGTGCAGCCGGCGGCGACGACATCACCGACTTGCTCCGCCGCGCCAGGTCCTCGGCGATCTGTGCCAGCGACTGGAGGTTGCACCGGACGATGGTGTCGACGAAAACGCACGTGTCCTCCTTCGTGTTCCCGGGGGGCACGTCCACGACGTAGGACTCCACCACGACGGTGCCGCCGGCGGGAGCCACGTGGAGGGTGGTGACGGAGCGGTAGTTCGCCAGCCTGTGGTCCCCGCCCACGACGCTGAAGCTGAGGACGTGTCGCTCGTCGTCCAGGATCTCGAGGCGCTCGGTGCTGTTGGCCGCGGGGAGCCCCGAGATGACGTGGACCTCGCGGAGGGACCCCACGTCGCCGCCGCCGACGAGGACGTGGCAGCTCTTGACGAAGTGCTTGTAGGCCTGGGGGTTGTCGAACCTCCGCACGACGGACCACACGGTGGAGACGGGGGCCGTGGTCTGCTGCACCACGGCGGAGCTGCACTGGTTGGGCCCCACGGGGTGGCTGTGGTAGCGTGCGACGGCGTCGGGGAGGGGCGCGGCGGTCGGGGGAAGCGCGCACCAGCGCTTCTGGCAGGAGGCGGCGGCCGAGGAAGGGGTGGCGGCGGAGGAGGAGGTTGTGTCGTTGATGCGGTGGAGGAGGAGGGAGGATTTGGGAGGATTGGCAGGCATCTTTTAGTTTAATTTGTTGATGATCGATCGGTTGGAAAGAGAGGGGGGGTTTTGATCAGGTGCGGTTGGTCGTATATGTATAAAAAGGGCGTGGTTCTGACTTGTGCGGCGGTGGGAGAGAGAATGGAAAGTAGGGAGGGAGGGAGGGAGAGTGGGTGGCTGCAGCTTTGTAGCAATTGGGAAGAGAGGGCGGAGGGGAGGAGATGGGGTGGTCTGCATTTTCTATTGACAGGAAAATAAGAGAGAGAGAGAGAGAGAGGAGAGGGGTTCAATGCGACTTCTCATGTGGGGATCAACAATAAAATACAGGAGCAACTTGCATCGGGTGGAAGTTACATGATTGTCCTTTGGTTTGTTTGTTTGTTAGTTAGTTTGGTTCTAGCTTTATGGTTTTGTTTAATTTGCATGTTTTTCATTTCATTATTATATGTTTTTGCAACTTGCAAGAGGAAGTCTCTGGTGTTGGTGGGTTTCGAAAATGGCAAGGGCTGCGGATCGACAATTTCAATGCTTTTTATGTTGTGCCGATTTGTCTTCATATCTAAACCCTTATCGAATTCCCGATTGATCCAATTCGACTCGAACTTCAAAACGATCTCCACAAAGCTTTCCGGTTTGACCACTAAAGAGGGAGGAGAAGAGAGGGGGAAGAGAGGAACGAAGGAAGGAAAATGATAGGTGGGTCATGGAGGTTAGGTAAATTTATTTTGTGGGAAATAAGTTCTTAATAGATATATGTAAGATATATTTTATTTCAGTCATTAAATCGTTAATTACTACCTTATTTGTATATATATTTAGAAAACGCCTAAAACGATTCAAACTGGCCGGACCCCGATCAGACCATTAAATCTCAAACCCCTTACTTGACCAGTTTAATGGCTTAAACTGATTTGACAACCTTGCTTCATATGTTTTGGGTATTCTTAATTCTGGGTGGTAGAGTCATAATTAAAGATTAATTATACGAATTTTTATGAGGATTCAAGAAGGTGTAATTCTGTTTTTTTTTTTTTTCCAAGTTATACCGAAGTACAATAGTTAAAACCTCTACCCGAACCCCGAAAATACATCAATGCAACCACCCTACAAAATCAAAGGACGCTATCTCTACAGGGGACAGCAACAGAGCTTGTCTTGCCACTCTATGGGCAGCCCAGTTGGCAGTCCTCGGAACCGCACTAAAAGGAATACACGAGGAACAGGACCTCACTAACTGAAAACAATCACGAAGCAAGGGCCCACCCACCGAATCTTCGCAGCATCTACCATCAAGTTGGCGAATAACTTCTTCGGAATCTCCTTCTATGATGACGAGGGGAAGACTTCGAGAGATAACAAGAGAAATGGCGTCCCTTGCGGCCAACAGTTCAGCAAGATAAGGATTCGAAACTCCAAGATGATGGAAACCCAAGGCCAAAAAGACTTGCCCATCTGGCCCTCGAGCGACGAGACCTGACGAGCAACCCGGGGCACGAACAGCAGCATCGAAATTGATCTTTATATAACCATCCGGGGGACCAATCCAATTGGCAGGGCGAGACGACTGAGGGCGGGGCAAAAATACCAGAGGCTGGGGGGGGGAGAGAGGAAAATTCTTGGACTTGAAAGAAGAGCTGACGGGCAAGCGAAGTGGCTAGTGGTTGAGTGAATTCAAATACCACTTTATTTCTAGATTTCCAAATTCTCCAAAGAAGGCAAATACAGGGGAGATAGTGGATTTGGAAGTTTTCCGAGTTCATAACATGTCGCCACCAAATACCAAAGTTATCAGTACACTCATGTAAGGTTCAAAAGAGGGACGATTGTTGGTGAAATAATAATTTAATCACAACATTTTCACACTTTAATTCAAATGATTAATAAATTATTTAACAATCAACAATAAGAAATTAGTTAAAAAGTTCAAAGAATCACATCTCACAAAAATTTTGAGCTATTGAAAAGTTCGATATAGAAGATTGAGTTTATAGATGTTGTTAATTTCCCTTTTGATATTTACTATCTAGCTCCTTCTAAAAATTCCTAGGCAGCAGCACGTAGGTGTCGTCTTGCTCGTCGACGTGTTCTTGATACGTAACTCGCCACATAATCCAAAAGCAAGGCATTTTAGCACTCTGCAGCGCCTAGACGTAAACTTAAGCACTCATTTTTGAACCATGACTCATGTATACTTAACTGCTAAATGATACCAAAACGTCTCGCCTAGGTATTTCGTGGCGAGTTAGGACTTAAACATTTTTTACTCGAATAACCCTTTATGAAGGACAAGTTCTCCTTTTTGTCTTGTCAATAAGGCATTTCAATGAACGAAATATGCATCAAGCTCAGAAAATGCGTAAATCTTACGAATGATGAACCTTTTCCCTATAATATCCGATGAGACATTAGAGGGAAAATGATGATTAATTAGAACATCCCCATTAGGTTTTCATAACTATAGGTGTTGGTATAATGATTTCCACTATTCTCGCATGTGAATCGCTATTTGCCGCCCGTAGTTTTACTATTTGCCGCCCATAGTTACAAAAAATATGACGAATTTGCCCCTCCTTCTAACTAAACCTAAATCCTATCAAACTCATCCCTCACAACCTCCTCCCTCCACCCACAACTGCCGCCGCCGACCCCTCCACCGCTGCTCCCACCGCCGAACCCTCCATTCCTCCAACCTGGTCCGCCGACCCCTCCATTCGTTCGACCTCACTCGATCTCCTCACAAAATCGCGGACGTTGAAGACGAAGGAGTTTGCCACGGGTGTTGTCGTCGCGGACGTAGAGGAAGGGGTCCGACCGCCGGACGCGGACGGGGTCCGAATTTTGACGGCGGACGGGGTCCGAGACCCGGCGGCGGACGGGGTCCGAGACCCAGCGGCGGACGTTTACTATTTTTTTTTTTCAAAAAACGTTTTTGAATTATTACTTATTTATTTAGTAATTAAATAAATGTAAAATACCATAATTAGGATAATTAAGCAAATTAAGCAATTAAAGTCATTATAAATCCGATAATGAAGCAAATTAAAGAGAGTTTTTTAAGGCAAGTTTTCGGAAGGAAATTTCCACAATTAACAATATGTAATTGTATTTTCCTATTTAACAACCCAACCCAACGTAATTTATTCTCAATACATTTAATGATTATTTTCCTAATTAATAACCGGAAATAAATTCATCCCCAATAAGGCAATAACCCACGTCCCCTAATTACACTCAAACACGTATGGAATTAGGGGAAACATAATCATCACGTCTAAGCCATAATAAATAATATTTTTTATTATTAATTATTTCCTTCTTTGATTGCTACAAACGAAATTAGGGGAAACATAATTTAATAACTAATTACCTGTTTTAATAGTAGTTGAGTTTAATTTAAACACTACCTTTATTCTACAAATTTCCTTAGTTACCAACTTCTAATTGACAACTGAAACAAACTTTCATAATTACCTACGTTTAACACAATTTTTTAATTACTATATTATTTTCAAAGTGATTATTCCTTCAATTTTTTTGCCTTAATTTCGTTCCCCATAATTAACACTCGTGATTGATTAGGTGACCGACTCCGTAAAAAGGGGGAGGGAATCCCCATAATTAACAAATTTCTTTAATTATTCACATTTAACACAATTTATTAATATTTATTTCTTTAATTACACTCGTTTAAGTTAACGCATCGGAAACAAAAAATTTATTTCACTCGTTTCCTCAATCAAAGTGATTTTTAATTTTGGTTCCGCCAGAGATCGGACCCCGTCCGACGGCGCAGATCGGACCCCGTCCGACACTTGTGTGCGGACCCCGTCCGATTGTCGCAGGCGGATGGCGTCCGCCGCCGGCGAGGCGACAGTTTTTTTTCCGGTTCGTTTATTGGGAGGTCTGGCGGTTGTGGGTTGGGAGGTCCGGCGGTCGCGATGATGTGGTGGACCGCGGAGGTGGTGATTAGGGAGGTCCGACGGCGGTGATGATGTGGTGGACGGAAGTGGAGATTGTTTTTGTGGCCGGCGGCGGAGGATGCACTGCCGGCGGCGATGGTTGGGAGGGAAGGGTGTGACGGTGATAGAAGGTCAGAAAGGAGTGTTGATGGGGGGCAAAAATGTCATTTCGGATTAATAAATGGGCGGCAAATAGTAAATGTACGGGCGGTAAATAACAACCCTCTTCTCGCATTGGAACAATCCCCAATTGAAGTACAACCTGTATTTATTAATGTATCGAGACGTAGGTAAAATATCATTGGAATTCATCAAAAAAAAAATATCATTGAAATTAAAAAATTTCCCAATATAATTATTTAAGATACCAACCTCATTATTAAAGCGCACTATCGTGACACCTTGTTGTTCCTCAGTACGATCATTAAAAACTACCACACTAATATCTCGATAACATAATATTTTTCTATTAGAATAGTCAAATGATTTTAACGTGATGATATTGATGCTAATAGCTAGGCATTGATTTGTCCGACCGAACTCTGGATAAACTCTTCTAATAGGTGGAATATTGTTTATTGACTGTAGTATACAAGTGGATGTAGAAAGTGACAACCGTGGTTCTTCAAAATTTAGAAAAATTTCAGAACCTTGTTGATATATTTGAAATATTCCAAATGATTGGGAGCTTTCACTAGGATATATGAACACCCAATTAAAATTATTTAAAATTATTTGACCCTTCTTTAAATAACTATGAGAGATTTTCTTAATAATAGGGTTAATAGTGTTAACAAATCGGTAAACCAAATTAGTGTGACAGGTCACAGAAGGGTCGAGGTCACAAACTAATTGCTCCGAAACATACCAGAAATACAAGAATATGAATATCCCCAGAAGTTTCCAGCCATTTCGCCCTCAACCGGAGAACTTCTCTGGTCTCGCTCTCTCTCTCTGTATGTCGATCTAGATCTAGGGTTAGGGATTGGAAATGGAATGAAGAAGGGAAAGTTGGGATTCGACAGATAGAAGAAGAAGGGAATGAATATTGAAGTCTCAAGGTGTTCAGTTGGAGCAAACAGATCGGCGATTGGGAGATTTCGATTCGCGCTCGCCGGAGAATTCCATTTTCGCCGAAGAAGGGAAAGTTGGGATTCGACAGATAGAAGAAGAAGGGAATGAATTTTGAAGTCTCAAGGTGTTCAGTTGGAGCAAACAGATCGGCGATTGGGAGATTTCGATTCGCGCTCGCCGGAGAATTCCATTTTCCCCGTCTTCCAATCCGAAGTAGACAAGTCCATTCTCTTCTCGATCTGTTCGCCCCTCGGGTAAGTCGTTGCCATCTTCCATTTTCTCTCTCGGGAACTTTCTTTTTCAGATCAGATAAAGAAGAGGGAAAGCCAGAAAGGAGTACGGGGCGACTTGGATGTCTTGCGGATCCGGATGGCGACTTCGGTGTGGGAGTCAGGGAGAGCGAATGCGGAGGAGCGGTCGATGAGTTCCGTTCAAGGGTGGCGCTGGGAGAAGCACTGGCCGACGGAGGAGGAGCGGCGGGAGATGAAGTTGCGGCAGTCCGGTGTGGTGATTGCAGGTTGGGATTCGGGCTGTGCCGTGGGGTTCGTAACCGGGAGAGGTAGAGCGACGGTTTTTCCAGACGGCGGTTACAATCCCGACGCAGTGTGACGGTTACGCTCCCACTAACAACGGTTCCGATAAGTATCCCTCTCTTGGTATTTTTATTATTTCTTTAGTTTTCTTTATAATTATCCTCCATAATTGTTTGTTTTTCAATTATTCTTTTGGCACTTTTCATTTATATCTTCTACAATTATTGCGTACGTTTGAAAATGAAATTCATGAAAGAAAATAGAACGGTTAGATTTCCTCTCTATTAGTAGATTGCATTTTATGCTTCGTGGGTGCAGCCCGATAACGGCTTTCAACATCATGCTCGTTGATTGTGCCGCTCGCCTGGGCTCTCCTTCAGTTCGACTTCTCGACTGTGAGGATGTCCAAATGGTTGCCGCAAGATCCCCTGGCTTGTTTTTTATTTTCTTATTTTGCAGGTTCACTATGGCTACGGATGGGGCGTTGTATCCTTTAAATGATTTATTGCATTTTATGGTCCTAGTTTCGTTTTCTCTATGTTGGTTTGCAGGGAGGCTTCTTGGACTATTGAATTCTCCATGCTGGTGATTCATCACTTGATGCTAAGGCTCTTGAGATGCTTTACAATGGTGCTTATCACATGGTTTTGTTGCTGTCCAATTTCATGGGGACTCACAACAATTGATTCAACGGAAAGTGAGGAGTAATTTGGCACACGATCGGAGTGGGGCGGTACTCGAAGGTGCAAGTGCGTTGGCGTCCCAATTCAGCTTCGTTTTGTTTTGTTTTGTCTCTCGTCAACTTAATAGGGCCGCCCATCTTGTGGCACAAAAAGCCCTTTCATCGGGAGCTCGACGATTAGTCGACTCCCGCGCTCTTCTTTCTTCTATTTATGACTGAATGTTACCGCTAACTTTGACAAAAAAAAAAAAAATTAGTGTGACAGGCCAAGTTTTTGTCTTCGGGATTCGTATTATCCATTTTCGTGGACTTCATATTAGACACTTAGCTTCCAAAACTATGAATATAATTTAGTAGGCTTAGAACCAAAAAGGGTCATGTGCCAAGTTTGTTTGGGCTTCATATATTAGCTAATTGTTAAACTCCTTCCAACATTATGAAAGACAACAATTATCACCTGAAGATCCATAGGCAAGTTGAATTATGGTATCAACCCTACTTGAACTAATCATATATGAATATATATATATATATATATATGGGGAGTTCTACGGTACTCAGGGTGAAATCCGGGGTACCGCATACCTTGAGTAAAAAAACCCTATCTAGACCTCGAATTAGCAGAATTTTTCGGCATGATACTATACTTTAACCCTTAAATATAGGCAAAAAAATCAATGTACCATCTTAGGGTTCATAGTTTATGATTTAGATGATTAGGACCTAGGGTTCACTCATTAAGGGTTAGGGTATAGTATCATGCCGAAAAATTCTGCTAATTCGAGGTCTAGATAGTGTTTTCATACTCAAGGTATGCGGTACCCCGGATTTTACCCGGGGTACCATAGAAGGCACCATATATATATATATATGGTTCGGGCTAGCATACGCCTGGGCGTACGTTAGACTACCGTACGCCCGTTTGAGTTTTGCTATTTAGATCATGAATTAATCAAAGTTTTGGGCATGATACTATACCCTAACAACTAAGTGATAAACCCCAGTCCCTAGTTTTCTAACCCAAATAATGAGATTCGTTTAATCTTAAAATGAAAATCAACAATAATTTCGACAAATCAGAACCGTTGATTTTCATTTCAAGATTAAATGAATATTATGCTTTGGGTTAGTGAATTGGGGACTGGGGTTCACCCATCAGGGGTTAAGATATAGTATCATATCCCAAAATTTGGTTAATTCATTGTCTAAATAGCAAAACTCAATGGGCGTACGGTAGGCTAGGGTACGTCCGGGCGTACGCTAGCCTTTGCCATATATATATAAATATATATTACTTTTGCCTTTTCCTTCATATCCCTATTTTTTCCGTATTGACTGAATGGACATCTACAGTTTGTTATTTTGACTAGAAATCCAAATAAGAAATATTTACTATCAACTGAAGTTATATATTGAATTTTTTTTAAATAACGTTAATTTCTATTTAGGAAATTTCCACTCTAAGTGATCAGTTGATTGATCATGATACGTGAAAGATTTTCTTGAACCAGAGTGTTATCAAATGAGACTAACTCTTCATTCATCATGAAGGGTTGTGATGTCCATATCATGGTTAACAAAAGTACATATAAATCTCTTTATGCTACAAATTAAGGTTGTACATTTATGTTTTGGTGCAGTTTGAAGTTGTACCATAACATATAGTCCCTGTCTGGGTTCGTCTCTCGGGCATCCTAGTGGAACTAAATTCGAGAGAAGGTTTGGGGAGGTTGGCTAGTGCACTAGGTAAGCCTCTATGCTTTGATTTACCTACACGGAAAGGGGATAGGGTTGGTATTGCTTTCGTCTATGTGGAATTGCCTGCATCTACTCCATTAATTGATCAGATTAGTTTTACACCTGACGGGTCAGAAGAGATGTTTGTTTCTGTCGAGTATCGTCGTCTTCCTATGATTTGTAAGGCTTGTAAGCAGTTTGGGCATGATTGTTCTAGGCCTATTGGGGGAAGAACTAAGCATATACGGAGAGTTAAGGAAAAAAGAACTTTTGTAGTTGAGTCTGTTGACCTATCTGGGAAGGGAAAGGAGATTCAAGTGGATTCAGTTCAGGTAGCTGAGGAGGTTGGATGCTCTAGCACTAGGGAGATGATCACTCCACCGATCACACCTAGTGCTCTACCATCTACATAAACTTTTAACACTGTGGTGAATGGGAGTAGGACTCGTGATGTGCAGGTTTCGCCACCGCCAAAATTGATGAATTCTTTTGCTGCTATTTGTGCAAAGCCACCGATAATAATCAAGCCAGTTCCTATTAAGGCTGGGCGTGAAGGGTTAAGAAGTGGAAAGGGAGCTGCTCCAGCAGCTCACCTTGCAAGATGAGTGTCCTTGTTTGGAACGCAAGGGGCTTTAATGACCCCTTGAAACATGATGCCCTGCAGGATTATCTTCGTAGGTATTATGTCAATTTGTTTGCAGCAGGATAGACTAGAGTACAGAAAATAAATGCTAAAAAGATTCAGGATAAATTTCTGGGTTTCCAGTTTATTGATAACTATAGCAAGAACTCATTGGGGCGTATTTGGGTTTCTTGGAATGATGAGGTAAAGATCAACATGTTAGAGGAAGATGAGTTCTACATTCATCTTCTGGTCTCAATTTTAAACAGGGATAGATTCTTTTTTACTGTCGTATATGGTTCAAATGTGGAAAAGCAGCGTCCTAGCATGTATGGTCGATTGAGTGGTAAAATGGTGCAGGGGTTTCCCTGGATTGTTTTTGGTGACTTTAATGCGTTTATGCATCCGAATGAGGCAGTCCCAATGGCTCCTATTTCTTCTAGTATGATGGATTTTCGTATTTAAGTTGCTGAGATGGAGCTGGTAGACCATAAAGCATCAGGTCCTCTACTGACCTAGTCCAATCAGCAGCAAGGAAGGCCTATAGTAAGAAAATTGGATCGTGTGTTAGTGAATGAGATTTGGTTATGTCAATTTCCGGATTGTGTGGTTGAATTTCTCCCTCCGGATTTCTCAGATCACTGTGGTATGTTGGTGAAACCAAGAGTTCCTAGGAAAACCCTCCCTAAACCTTTTAGATTCTTTGATATGTGGATTACACATGAAAAATACTCAGGGCTTCTTAAATGGATTTGGGACAGACTAGAAGATCTTTGGGTTCTAGCTGGGGTCAAAAGGAAACTCAAGCAAACTAAATGTGTGCTCAAACAGCTAAATAAGGAGGCCTTCTCTGACATAAGAGGAAGAGTTAAATATGCTGATGAAAAGATGAAAGATGCGCAATTATTGGCTCTCTCGAATCTGTGTCCTGATTCATATGCTAAGGAAGCTAGATGCACAAAGGAGTGGCAATTTCTACAGCAGGTTGAAGAGAGTATTCTTCAGCAGAAATCGGGCATCAATTGGCTTACCCGAGGGGATTCCAACACGAATTTCTGTCATAAATCTGTCAGAATCCGTCAAGCTCGAAAACAGATCAGGAAATTGGTACTAGACACAGGTGAGGAAGTAACAGAGGTTGAAGAAATAGAACAGGAGGCTATTGATTACTATTAGAAGCTCTTTGGTACTATTAACAATGCTGTGAAACAAGACTCTGTGTATATGGAGAAACAAATCAGGAAGATGTTGAGTGATGAGGAAGGCAGATTCTTATGTCACGATGTAACTGCTGAAGAGATCCGTGTTGCTCTGTTTGAGATGGATCCTACAAAAAGTCCAGGTCCATATGGATGGACGGTTGGTTTTTATCAGAAAAGCTGGCAGCTTGCTGGTAAATCAATAGTGGAAAAATCCAAGAATTTTTTTCTACAGGGCGAATGCCTCAAGGTATGAATGCCACTCCACTCACCCTTTTCCCTAAATGCCCGAATGCTATGACCCTGAATTACTGTAGACCAATAGCTTGTATAATGTGATCTATAAGATTTTGTCTAAGGTATTTTCAAATAGAATTAAGGATGTATTGCCTAGTGTGATTAGTTTAAATCAGTTGGCTTTCATCAAGGGTAGGAGTATACTGGAGAATATACTAATGGCACAGGAAATGGTTCAGAATTATAACAAAAAGGGTATTGCATCCAGAAGCGCAGTTTAGGTGGATTTAAGGTAAGTTTTTGATTCTGTGGATTGGGATTTTCTTTTCCTTGTTATGAAGTTCATGCATTTCCCTCAGAAGTTCATCAATTGGATACAAATTTGTTTATCATCTGCAACTTTTAGTGTATCAATGCATATGGGTTTATTTGGCAATTTCTAAGCAAAGCAAGGAGTGAGACAAGGTGATCCCTTGTCTCCATATCTTTTTACTATTGTCATGGAGGTCCTATCGTCAATGCTTGATAATACAGCAAGGGAGGGCAACATGCCTTACCACCCTCAGTGTAAATCTGTGGGGTTAACGCATCTATGTTTTGCGGACGACCTACTTATTTTCACTGAGGGGTCTGTTTATGCACTAGAATGTGTCAAGAGGGTTCTCGATAAATTTGCCCTAATGTCAGGATTTGTATGCAATACTCAGAAGACTGAGGTATTCTTTGGGAGAGAGACAGAAGGAGATAAAAGAGTGACTGTGCAGTTTACTGGTTTTAAGGAAGGCAATTTCCCTGTTTGTTATCTTGGGCTCCCTTTATTCACTGGAAAGGTGTCAAGCAGTGACTGTGAGATTCTTGTGGATAAGATCACAAGTAGGATTTGCTATTGGAAAGCCTCTACTCTCTCTTATGCAGGTAGAGTTCAACTGGTGGCATCTGTGATTTATGCACTTGTGCAATTCTGTGGTAATATTTGTGCTTCCTAAGCAGATTATTTTGAGAA